GTACGAAGATCCGGTGACAGAAGCAACCGGAGAATCAAATGGGAAACATTTTCTTCTGCGGATACGATGGTAAAACCTGGCAAAACATCGCAGGACGGCTATAACGCATCTCACTGATGAACAACAGCGTAGAATCTGTGTAGAACCTTTAATTGGGGCTTATTCATTGCTACCACCGAGTACTGTAGCCTTAAGCGGGTCGGCCATCACCTGTTTGTAAAAGGGAACTTATTGTTGGCTAAGAGAGGTACTTCTGGCTTTCATTAAGAAGAAGACTGCAATCAAGATATGGTTTAGAAGCAGTGTTTTTAACTCGAAAGCATTAGGAAGAAGTGTGCAAGGTGAAATGTAAAGCTGATTCTTCGGAGAAGTGCAGTGAGGTGCTGGAGTTAAATTTTCAGACAGCAAACAAGTTATTCTGGGAGATAATCTGCGCCTCCGAGGTAGAAAGAAGGGCACTTCAAGGGTTCTAAACCACAAGTCCGAACGCCCTATTATCAAGAATTAAGACATACTTTGGTGATGGAGGGAGCACTTAGAGAAACTCTTTAACCCCGACTAACGTAGGAACTGTTACCTGAAGAACAGCACGGGTTGTATATTAGCATCACCGTAGATGAAATCACTCAAGCTGTAAAAAGTCTGGAAAGTAGAAAGTTTTTGAAGTCGATGAAATCTATCCTGGAAAGCCTGAAGCATTAGGTAAACAGGGCGTGTACTGGCCTACAGGTGATTGTGAACTAGAATGGCCACGGGGAAGGCACCAGCGGACTAGAGAGCGGCTGTTGTAGTACCCCTGCTCAAGAAGACTATGGAGAGTGTTCCTAGCATTAGGGTATTATCTTAATGAACCTCCAGGAAAAAATCCAGACAAAGGTGTTATACAGGAAGTGCCGCGGAATGACTGACTCCAAGATGCAAAAAGAGCAGTGTGGCTTCCGGCCCGCCCGAAGCACATCTGACCAGATACTCGCCCTTCGGTAGATTCCATCTGAGAAATCGTGGAATTTCATCCGGTTTATATTGCTTTATGCACTTGGAGGAAGCCCATGACTAGATACCGCGAAACAGTCTGTGGGCATGTCTGAGAATATATGCGATCGCTGGCCAGTTGCTACCGGCCATCCAATCACTGCATGCAAATTGTAAATGTTGCGTCAGAATAAATGGCGTTAAGTCGAATTCTTTCAACGATGTCACTGGCCTCCGTCAAGACTGCGTTCTGTCCTTTCTCCTATGCGCGTTGTCAAATGGAAACAATAAAATATTCAGGCCCAGCCAAGGAAGTGAGAGATGAGGAGGTTGCCGTTTCCAGACGACCTTGTTTAATTGGCATCTTCTGAAACTGATCTCGAGCAGTCTCTGAAAAAGCCTAGTATTTTCTCGTTTTTCTGTCCGCTGCTCTCTTGAAATAAACGGAGAAACAATCGAGCAAGTGGAAAAGTTGAAGTACCTGGGGGCCGTGTTTACTGGTGAAGGAAAATGTGAGGAAGAAGTCGACTGCAGAATGGGATGGCCAGCGGCATCCTGCGTGAATTACACCAAACCATTGTGACTAAAGCAGAGCTGAGTCTGATGACTAACTCTAGGTGTTCAGGTCGATATTCATTCCGATGCTTACCTACGGTTATGAGTCGTGGACCATCGCTGAAAAACTTCGATCTCGGGTACAAGTGGCTGAAATGGGCTTTCTGAAACCAATCGTTTAACTCAAGCGTTTCGAAAAGGTCAAACCGCAGATATGCGCGCGAGCCTTTGAGTAAAGCAGCTAGGATGGTTTAGGTGCGTGTTGCAAATGTTTCCAAAAACGGAGGGCGAAATAACTGCTTTTTGCGCAGCCGACCGGCGAAGACCCATCGTACAGCCAAGATTGAGCTGGGGCAAGTGTTTTCAATTAATCTTCTCTAAACTCCGGTTATCTTCTGCAAAAGCTCAGATACGGGCACGGGATGGGGAACGTTAGAAGCACGGTCTAACGTGTCTGCCTCCACGACACGAAAGGAGAAACGGTCATGGAAAGTGAAATGCAGCTATACACCCTGAGGGAAAGAAGTGAAATAGCTCTGTTCATTGGGTCATCATCGATATCAGGATACATCCAAGATCTTTGCAACAGTTGCGTGCCTGCATTTCGGATTTACGTGACGTCGAGTTGCGACGCCGTTTGATCAGCTGTTGGCAGACAGGAAGGCAGTTAGCTGAAGGAGCAAGCGGAACTGTCGTTTCGGCCGTGGAGTAACTTTTAAGCGCCAGAGGAGTTGGAACGAACAGATCGCATTGGATGGACTGGAATGTAATATAAATCGATGAATGAATAAAATGGAATATATATTGCACAAGCCGTGATGGCACCTGCCACGTACCGTGAAACGATCGCTAACGATGCTATGCTGCAACTGACAGAGTTCTTCATGCTTTCTATCCATGTTATATGTGCGAGATAAAAGCTTTGACTGCAAATCCGACGGAACGATATACGGGTTACCCTGAATTAGACCTAAAAGAAAGTGCAATGCAGTCTTTTTATCCTGCAGTCTGCTAAACGGAGGATGATGATTCGTATTTCTCAAATATGTAGCTAAATTGATCATGGAATATTTTCAAAGTGTTTCAAATCACTCCGACACAATTTATTCATCACGTATGTCGTCAGTAAACAGAACTAAGCTGCTGGCTTCCAGAGCGATGCCTTTGTGGAATTTAAATGCACCTCTTTCGCAGAGTTTGAATGAGAAGGAAAAAGACAAAGACATTGTCAGTCGTAGTTACGTTGCATTTTAATGTAACGGAATATTCATATGTTTTGGCCTTCAGCGCTTGACTGTTACGTTTCTGGGAGAATCGTGAACTGATATGCAAGCTGAGCTCGTCCTATCATTTACTTGCACAGCGTCAGTAAACACTGCCAGTTACCTGAACTGTGCACACGTCTAGACCGGTCGAACTGCATATATGTAGAGAGCAATTTTTGCTGAAGCAGATAATATATTCGTGATGACTGTTTATTGCTTATTCGGAGATTCTAATCAGTCACCTTTTAACAGTCGATTCGACAGGGCACCAACTACGTTATTTCCAGTTGCTGACTCGTCATGCAGCGATAAACGTAGTACATGGCTGTACTTCAACCGTTCTTCAATCTATTCGGGTGACCGCAGTTAGTTTTTTGAGAATATCATGACGTTATCGTTTGGCAGTTTAACCAAGATAAAGTAGTTCTGGTCGTACGGTAGTGAACGAGAAATTAGTGTAGCCGTTCGGCATGAGCTCGAAACATTAGCGCGCCATTACGGCGAAGATCGGTTGCCGCTAGCGACTGCTGTTGGTTAGGATGGAAAGAGCTCGTTGGCTGATCCTCGTCGCCCTCGGCCTGCTGGTTTCTTCAACGCCGTCGGTATGATTTTGCGCTCGCTACCATGCTGTAATCCTTAACTCTTGTTGGTCCTCGAGTACGCAACCAGATTTTAGCCGACCTTTAAGCACTCTCAGGGCTTACAACTCGGGCTTATAACTTTTCGTTATGAGGCGTACTGACCACGGTCAGCGGTCAGCTCCCGTACGTACTGTCATTTACGGGCGATTCATGGCACGCCACGCCCTTTGAGGGAAGCGAAGACTTTTTGGGTATTATTTCCAGACTGGCGATTGTTGCAACGTTGAAACGAAATGCGAGGGACTGGTACGAGGCTACCGGTCATTGTTCGTTGCCAGTGGTTGTCAACAACGTCTTCATGTCGAATCTTGCTTGTGGTGCCTCATTCTTTTGACCCTTTAATCCATGGTTAACTCTTCGCACTCAGGGAGCAGATTTGTTAAATTAAACTAAATGGGGTTTACGAGTGCTTTTCGCGATATACAGTTACTCTCTGATACGGCATCTTGGATAGGAAAAAGCAACAGAATCTTGCAGCAGAAGGCAAGAAGTTGCAGATCAAAGGGTGTAAGCTAAATTTAAATGAATCTGTATTCAATTCAATTAGAGAACATATTAACTCAACCAATGTACCCTACGTTAAAATAGATTGCAGTCTTGTTCTTGTAGAAACTTGAGTTATCGCTTAGCCAAATAACTGTCACAATGAATGAGTTCGAAAAAGGATCGGCTAAGCGGTTAGTTCATCTTTTCGACACAGGGTTTCGTTTGACTTGCTTCGCTAGTGACAGTGGTCAGCGTAGCAAAACTGAAAGCGAATTTTAACTTTTTAATGGAAACTTTGGTGCTATCATATCTGTTGATCTTGGCTTCCACAAATGCATGGCGCAAACCTTTCACATATCTTAAGGTTCATCATGGCGGAATTCTGTGGCATTATTTGAAACGTATGTTACTGAGGTAAGCGATGAAACAATAAACGCAATTTGCTGATAGCAAGAAAGAACAGCGCTGTGGAAGAAAATCTGTGTGTAGATATGTTGCAGCAGAGGACCATTTCCATCATCCGTTCCTTTAAATCTGAAATGTTGAACTGAGCGCAACCGTAAGTCGTATAATACAATCGTGCGTCGGCTCAGAGGCTGAATGAAAGGAAAAGGCATCCTAAAATATTGGTTGACACATCATATTCTTTTACTTTCTGATATTCGCTGTTGCTCACATGTATTTGAGGCATCTAGATCTTAATGAAGCCTGAATATTCAGATTACTGTTACGACAAGTGTGATTGGTATACTGTTTAAGATTTTCCTCAGGCAATTCTAGCTGGCGAAGCGGCCACTATATATTATATAATAAGAGGCCTGAGGTATTTGCAGAAGGTATTTGTCGCTTTTGTATTTACTTTCAGCAGGTTTCCCATGGTGTGCAATGCATAGCAACACTTTCCTACTAAATAAATTTCATTCATTACGTAACAGCATAACAGCCCTTTAATGAAAAAGCATCACCACAACAGGCATCAACGACTTTGGACATTCCTACATACTTTTATACGACAGCAATTTTCAGTCTTGTTTAATATGAGTTTAAGCCTATATGTACACCTTCTTCTGCTGAGTGTTAGTCAGCTATCAGGTGGGTCAAAGCGAATGCGCGCATCAGAAAGCGTAGACGGGTTTCTCACCCGCTTGGGCATAAATACACTAAAGCATCACGCTGGCCCTATTATTTGGAGATCAATGACTTTCTATTTTTTTTTTGCTTTTTGGCTAGCTGCCCCCAACGCACAATGAGGTGAATTCCTTGCTCAAAGGAATTAACA